GCGATTCTCCTGCCTCAGCCTGCTGAGAGATTTCTCCGTCTCAAAAAAAAAAAAAAAAAAAAAAAAGAATCAAGAGCATCAACATGATGATAGAAAGCATTTAATATTTAACCTCAGCCCTGGGGATAGAATAGGGAGTGATGGGACTGTGGGCACCTGGAGGACACATGCCCCATCTAAAGGAGGTAGGAATGAAGGCCCTCCATTCTTAACAGAATGAGGGTCCTACCTCCTTTTAGGAATGAGGGCCCTACCTTCTTTTAGGAATGCGGGCCCTCTGTTTCCAGAAAACAGAATATCCAGCTTTTACGTGAAATTCTCAATTTTTGAGATGGTTTACGTGTGTGTGTGTGTGTTTTGTTTGTTTGGTTTGTTTTTGTGAGACTCTGTCGCCCAGGCTGGAGTGCAATGGCGGGATCTCTGCTCATTGCAAGCTCCGCCTCCCAGGTTCATGCCATTCTCCTGCCTCAGCCTCCCGAGTAGTTGGGACTACAGGTGCCTGCCACCACACCCGGCTAATTTTTTGTATTTTTTAGTAGAGACAGGATTTCACTGTGTTAACCAGGATGGTCTCGATCTCCTGACCTCATGATCCGCCCACCTCGGCCTCCCAAAGTGCTGGGATTACAGGCATGAACTACCACGCCCAGCCAGCTTACATGTTTTAGAACCCCGTGCAGGCCAAAGAAAACACTAGCCAGTTGGATTTAGCACATGGGCCACCAGTTTTTGACATCTTTTTAAAATTTAAGGCTGCTCAGCCAAAGACTATCCTACTAAGCAGGATTTAGTAACCTATGAGAGAGATAAATCAACTATTGAGAAAGTACCTAGCATAAATGGTTTCTAGCAAATAGCTAGACTCCCTGAAAGTTCTGATCTGCAAAAAACATAAAAATGTAGAAACTAACCAGAATTTAGTCAGATACTGTGGATAACCAAAAATCAAATTCAGCACACATTTCAATTCCATTCCTTGCCAGTGTCATCTTTTGCATCATGTTCAAGATTTGAGATTTTTCATTCTTATTAAAATTGGCCAGATGAAATATTTATACTCACTGTAAGTAATTTCAGGCATTAGATGACTCCATCTCCACCTGCACACACACAGTCAGAGTGAAAGTCTCAGATCTCAAATCTAAGACTGAAAGGCTAAGGAATTTAATTTAAAAGAACTAGATACTCTAGGTACTGTTAGGTGCTTTATCATCTTTAACACAAAGCAAAGCCTCCTTAATAGCAGCTTGATATTTAGCTTCAAATTTTCCTGCAGCAGAGGTAAACATGAGATACCAGTGTTGAATGCAGAAAAACTGACTTTCCGACTCACATATGCCTCCACAGTTGAATGGTGCTCTTATGCCACACAAGTGTGAGGGTGGGAGCAATGGCTCTGTTGGCCATGGCCTGCCTAGCCAAAATGACGTTGCATAGCAAAAATAGGTATAATGATCTTACAGAAGTGTTCGCTTCTTCTTAGGAATGAACCATATGTAGCCAGACCATCCACATCAGAAATTGAAGACCAAAGCATGATGGGGAAGTTTGTAAAAGTTGAAAGACAGGTGAGTCTTTTCTTCATCTCACCAAAAACCAGATCTGTAAAATTTATTTTCAAATACCCTTTCTTTCCTTCCTTCCTTCCTTCCTTCTTTCTTTCTTTTTCTTTCTTTCTCTCTTTTTTTTTTAATGAAGTTTCACTCTGTTGCCCAGGCTGGAGTGCAATGGCATGATCTTGACTTACTGCAACCTCTGTCTCCCAGGTTCAAGCGATTCTCCTGCCTCAGCCTGCTGAGAGATTTCGAGTGCCCGCCACCATGCCCCGCTAATTTTTGTTATTTTTAGTAGAGATGGGGTTTCGCCATGTTGGCCAGGCTGGTCTTAAACTCCTGACCTCAGGTAATCTGCCCGCCTCGGCCTCCCAAAGTGCTGGGATTACAGGTATGAGCCACTGTGCCTGGTCTCCACCATTGTTTTCCAAAGGGAAATAAGACACTTGAGTAGTACTACCTACCATTCAAAAAAGATGTGGAAATTAAATCACTGATTCAGCATTTACTGAGTGATCACATGCAAGTTAATTAATTGTTCTGAGCCTCAGTTTTCCTCATCTGTAGTATGGGGATTATAATACCCTATTAGGTTGCTGTGAGGATTGAGTTGATACATGAAAATTACCCATAATATTAGCGGGCACACAGTGAACACTTGATGATAGCTACAGTTATCATGCATTTCATGGTGACCCCTTAGGAAATCTGAGTGACCTGCCCCTGCATGTTGTGTGTCCCCCTTTTCTCAATGTCCGGGCCAGTGGTGGTCTGTTTGAAGAGGCCAGGAGGAGAGCAGGCTACAGGTGAGATCTGTTCAAGGTGGAACGAGAAACCCGCTCACTCACAGCACCATGCAGCTCACTCTTGCTTTCATAGCAAAGAGCTCATAATCTAGCATCATCTGCCTAACTCTACATTAGATAAATGGTACTGCCAGTTTTTCAAGGATCAGATTAATCCTTTTGTTTTATTCAAAATCCTAAATGGGACCCGTGCAGGAGAGGTAGGAGCAAATCTGAATTATTCCTTTATGTTAAGTCAATAATTTTGTTTTCATTTAAAAATTTATAATTTCCGCTGTACATGATTTCTCTGTGTCTCTGTTCTCTTGCCTGTGAAATAGAGATAATAATAGTATCCATCTTGGAGGACTGTCGTAAAATTCACGTGAGTCAATAAAGCGCATAAGACAGAGTCAAATCGTAACTTTTCTAAAAGGGTCAGTTATTCCTGAGACTCAGATGCCATCCTAGCATCTGCCAATCACGGTGCTCGTATCCTTACCTGTAAAATGGGATGACACACCTGACGACAGCGTTTCCTGGTGAGTCGTGAATTGTCAAAGCAAGAACATCACACATCTATGCACACACACTCATGTATAGTCATTCACAATTTAGGTAGGCAAGAGCAAGCCGCTGGGTAGGGTCTTCAGTTCTGAGAAGCTCAGTTCTTACTAACCACTGCCCTTGTATTTTTACAGCTTAAATCACCATGTAGGAGAAACATAGACTAACAATCCACATGTTTCTGTCTAAGGAAATGTTCATAAATTGAGAACTCTTGCTCCTTGACCCAGGCAACGTTAGGAAGGCCACTTCCTCCTCCAAGGGACACAGCAGGCCTGTAACACTTCAAAGCATCTCTCTGCTTTCCGCCTTTGCTTCCTAGAAAGCCCTTGCCTAGGTTTTCTCTAGATTAGCACTAATACATGGTATGCAAGGCTTGCAAGTAGGAGGCACAAAATAAATTATTAGCTGCTTTTCTTATTAAGAGTTGCAAGAACTCTGTTCCCTTCTGAAAAGTAAATACAGTATTAGAATATTTCCTCCCGGCCAGGCACAGTGGCTCATGCCTGTAATCCCAGCACTTTGGGAGCCCGAGGCGGGTGGATCACAAGGTCAGTTCAAAACCAGCCTAGCCAAGATGGTGAAACCCCATCTCTACCAATAATACAATAATTAGCCTGGCATGGTGGCAGGCGCCTGTAATCCCAGCTTCTTGGGAGGCTGAGGCAGAAAATTGCGTGAACCCGAGATGTGGAGGTTGCAGTGAGCCGAGATTGCACCGCTGCACTCCAGCCTGGGCAACAGACTGAGACTCCACCTTAAAAAGAAAAAAAGAATATTTCCTCCCAACCAACAGCAATGATCCCCACCCTCAGAGAAAGTGGTAACTCACAGATCCTTTGTTTTTCCAGGTTCAGGACATGGGGAAGAAGCTGGACTTCCTCGTGGATATGCACATGCAACATATGGAACGGTTGCAGGTGCAGGTCACGGAGTATTACCCAACCAAGGGCACTTCCTCGCCAGCTGAGGCAGAGAAGAAAGAGGACAACAGGTATTCTGATTTGAAAACCATCATCTGCAACTATTCTGAGACAGGCCCCCCGGAACCGCCCTACAGCTTCCACCAGGTGCCCATTGACAAAGTCAGCCCCTATGGGTTTTTTGCACATGACCCTGTGAACCTGCCCCGAGGGGGACCCAGTACTGGAAAGGTTCAGGCAGCTCCTCCTTCTTCGGCAACAACGTATGCAGAGAGGCCCACGGTTCTTCCTATCCTGACTCTTCTCGACTCCCGAGTGAGCTGCCACTCCCAGGCTGACCTGCAGGGCCCCTATTCTGACCGAATCTCCCCCCAGCAGAGACGTAGCATCACGCGGGACAGCGACACACCTCTGTCCCTGATGTCGGTCAACCACGAGGAGCTGGAGAGGTCTCCAAGTGGCTTCAGCATCTCCCAGGACAGAGATGATTATGTGTTTGGCCCCAATGGGGGGTCGAGCTGGATGAGGGAGAAGCGGTACCTCGCCGAGGGTGAGACGGACACAGACACGGACCCCTTCACGCCCAGCGGATCCATGCCTCTGTCGTCCACAGGGGATGGGATTTCTGATTCAGTGTGGACCCCTTCCAACAAGCCCATTTGAAAGAGGTCACTGGCTGACCCCACTTGTAATGTAGACAGACTTTGTATAGTTCACTTACTCTCACACCCAGCGCTTACCGGCGGGGACACCAATGGCTGCATCAAATGCATGCGTGTGTGTGGTGGCCCCACCCAGGCAGGGGCTTCCCACAGCCTCTTCCTCCCCATGTCACCACAACAAAGTGCTTCCTTTTCAGCATGGTTTGCATGACCTTACACTATATAAATGGTTCCACTAATCTCTTCTAGGATACACATTTATCTGCTGTTCTTACTTTTAATCACGATTGAACCGGTACAGGGAGAAATTACTGATGAGCCATGCTGTTTGTCTGTTTGGTTGGCTGGTTTGGGTTTTGGTTTCGTAAGCAGAGAAAGTAGTTTAAGTTATTTCTAGAATCACTGCCCTCTTGTGTAAAACACTCCAGCAATCAGCTGTTTTTGAAAGCAGAAAATAATTTTCTCAACAAAACCGCGTGGCGTATCAGTGGGGCTGCCTACTGAGCTAACATTAGGAAAGGAATGAGATAGTCATTGTGTCTCTAAAACAAAGAATTTAAACAAATATTGAAAAGTGGCAAAACCTTTTAAAAGCTCTCAAAAAGACCTCACTTGGTCTGATGTTATTTAGTATCATGCCTCAGTTTCCTTATCTGTAAAAAGTGGTGGTAATCCCAAGAGTAGCATTTCTGATGAGTTAAGAATTAGCAGGGAGAAACACACACACACACACACACACACAAAGTTAAAATAGTTTCCAATTTATGTAGCCGAGGACAATGGAATTTGTCAGAAGTGAAGTGCCCTTCTGGGCAGGAGCTAAGTTCAGTGCCTTTAAAATGATGTTTCAACTCCCATTTGTCCCTATGATACTGAAGTACAAAATATCCATCTAAAATAGAAATTAAAGTCTAGAAGGCACACAGAAATTATCTAGTCCATGTTATAAATGAAGACTCTTAGGCTGAGGTAAAGTGACACACCCAGATTCACTCAGTTGTCCCGTAGAGAACCAGGACTCAGAAGTCAGGTCTGCTCACTCTCTCCCTGCCCTTATTTCCCCTCACCACACCACTCTTCATTTATATAATGCATCCTAGAGATTGTGTCAAGATATATGACTTTGTGTCATGTGGAAAGCACTCAGTTTATCCAGCAGGAGGGGGATTCCCACTTTTATTGCTAAACATGCTTGCTTGATGCATTGCATTTTAGATCTAGAAAAAAAATAATACAAGCAAGCTACATTTACTGATGTGCAACCAGGCAACATTTCCAGAACCATCCAATTTTACTTTTCCAAATGTATGGAACCAACCCAGATTTTTAAAATGAAAGTACTAAAACCACATGTAATCACAAGACAAGCTAAAATGTAAGCAGACAGCCTGGGAAGCACTGCCCTACTCTACAGGTGTGATATTAAGCACAAGCCATCCTCTGGCCTCTTATGAGATGTTGTTATGCTCTGAAAAACTTTGATGGAAAAGGTTTCTGTTAGGCTTAGAATGAATTAGCTAAATGACCACACCACAGTATTATTGTATCAGTCTTCTTACACACCTAGACACTGGTTGTGGATAGTTGCCATGGTGACAATCAAGATAATTCAGATGACCTAAACAAATGTCTGTATGCAGCTGACACTGCTATTCTCCCTCACAGTCTTGTCAAGAGCCACAGTAGCTATGGCAGACATTTGGTTGATGGTTTCATCATTTCCTAATACAAGAGTCCGGCACTATGTTGGAGAAAGGAGTCCCTTCCTCAGAGATAGGTTCCTTTCAACTCACATGTCAACAGGTACTGTACAAAAAGCTCAGAATACAGTAGTGATTAGAGCTTGACCCCTGACTTTAGGAACTTACAGCCAAAGCCCTAAGTCCCAGGACAAGGGCAGACATTGTGAGTGGCAGAAGGCTGTTTTTCATTGAGAACCCCACAAATCGATGGGTGTAGACCTTGAAGTCTGAGATAGAAAATACACCAGAATTCTCAATGCATCAGACATGAAGCCTGTCCCCTATGGGTTTCCATTTGACGTGCTGGCAATCTGAAGGACAAAGGCCATGGGTGATTTGGGCCTTTCCCCCACTCCTTCAATATGCCTAAAAGTGCCACTGGGGATTACAACCTAAGAAACCCTATGCCCCTTCCTGAGGGCGTGATTGTTGAATCCTGATCTTCCTGGAATCTTTCACTTGAGATGATCACCTGCCTAACGTCCAACATGTTACTATGTACATAAAGTTCTTCTTTATGTACCCAAGTTACTGGAAACCAACAAAAAAGGAGAGTGAGTCACACTCTCCACATATGCACCAATTAATTTTTAACTTATTAATATTCTTGAAGAACTTGCTATCTTAAGTATTTTACGAATAGATGCACTTTCCAGCAACTCAATGGAGTTTTAGCTTAAAGTATTTACCATTGATCCAAAATTGGAGGAACTACCTTAGGTTCTTTTAATAACCTAGAAAGAATTGGAGCTTATATTATTTCCTAAACATAAGACCAGGAGAGCAGAGATTGGGTTTGTACTGATCAGTAGTAGGGAAGTATTGATAGTCTAACATCTAGTAAGTTGTCTTTATCAGTATAGACATAGACAAAATACGTGTTTTATGAATGATAATAAATAATAAGAACCTTAAGAACTGTTTTTTCCCATTTAAGAAAACGAAAAGGAAAAGAGAAAAATGATCTTCTGGAATAACTCTGCTTTGATATTCTCCTTTTGTTCCCCAAAAAATACATTCCAGAAAGGCAAACCAAACCTGCTCAAGTTGCCTATGCATCGACAATCTCAGCAACATGGCTCACAGTGAACAAGCAGAAATTCAGGGTCTGGAATTGAATGTGAGTGATGGGAAGAAACTGTGTGTGCTTTCACAAAGATCCTTTTGTCAGACAAAGGAACAGCATGATGATCCAATGGAACTGGTTAATAACATGACCCAGGATTACATGACCACAGATATGCTAGTCGTTCTGAAACTTGCCCAAGAAATTGCAGTCATTTCAGCAGAACTCCATGAAATGTTAACAAAATAATTCCATCATCAAAACTAGGAATGATATGATCAGGTAAAATTATGATCTTATGTATGTATTTGGTCTTTTTGGGTCACAGTGGGACATGAAAAATTGTAAATGTCACGTTTTAGCAAGATCAAAATGAATGAGATAAATCAGCTTCACAAATGTTAGGTGAAACATGATCCTATTGGGCTGAGAAAAGTACTTGAGATCAAGTGAGTTTTGACTATGAGATATCAGCACAAAAGCAAATATCAAAAGTTTAAGAAAAAAAATTATTACAGGAAAAGAAAAACACATCAAATTGAGAAAGTGCTATTGAATAACTTTGTTTTTAGAACTGGGAGTTTAAGCTTATTAGACATGACACTGATATTACAAAGCCCTAGTTTTCACGAAAACATAACTAGATAACCCCAAGATGTATAGGTTAAGATGAACTAATTAATCAACAATTGTGCATCCTGTGTCTATTTTGTGCAAGGTAATTCCTAGACACTAATTTGAAAGAATAATTTCCTGTAGAAAAACCTAATATAACCCGACCTACTCATAATTTGACAAAATCAGTCTCATAATTCCATGCTACTGTAATGGGAGTATAATAAAGAAAAAGTCATTTGTTTATTCATTTAACAAGATTTATTAAGCACCAATATATGCCCAGAACTGTGCAGTGCACTGGAAATTCAGAGATAAGAAAACCACAGTTTCTGCCATCAAAATGCTAGTAATCTAGAGGTCTCAAATATCAGAGGTCCCTTCAAACTACGTCTACCAGGAAAATAAAATACCTGATTTCATCCCTGCAAACAACTCTATACAGACAGAAAAGCTTCCTACCTTGGAAACCATAGGAAATTGAACATGAAAATGAGAGCAAAGATTCTACATCAAAATGGCAATGATCCAATCGGCCCAATCAAGACTGAGTGGGTTGAATGGGGACTTCGAGTTCGGATTCAATGCTTTGAATTTCGTAGCTCCAGAGACGCTGTGCAAAAAAGGGGGATTCTAGGGAATCTGAGGAAGATTGTTGGAGAAACCAGCTTTCTTCTTCTCTCCTAAGCCCTACTAAGATTGAGATCAGGCAAGGAGCTGAGCTACTTTCATTTCATCATGTTGACCAAGAGAAGCTTATGATACAGACTATGACACAGCACCTATTTCAAGAGAAAGATGTTACTCTACTTGTGGGAACCTGCAGATCAAATTCTCCTGGGGCAAGAGAAGAAGTTTGTTCAGCAGCCTAAGAAGTCAACTGTACTTTGGACAGTGCTGCCAAACACACCCCAGGATTCCCCCACCCCTGCGCTTCCCCAGAAGATGCCACATAGCTGGTATTTGGTTTTCATGAATAACCAAAGATTCTTCTTTGCTTCCTGAACCCCAGGTATCCTTAGGAATTTGCTTCATGTCCTCACTTGTCCTTGAAGGCTTGTTTTTCAGGATGAACTTTTTAAGTCTAAGTTGTCAAATTAACCCAATGCTATTGTTGCTGATATTATACCATCCCAAACTGTGCCAACTGGCCCCTAAACAAGTCAGCAGGCAGCCCCTCACCAATGCCCAGTTTAGAACGTGCTAGGACCAGGCTATCTGCCTAGCTTTAGTGGTTTTAGAAGCCAATAATGGCAGTGTAGAAGAGACAGGAAGCATACAGAGATGACCTTGAAGAAAATTTGAGTTTCAGCACATTCAAAAGCATTTGACTCTTCTGCCATGTTTTGATTTTCAAATGAGACAATCAATGTACACACAAAGCCCCCAGTACAATGACTGATGCATACTAGGGACTGTTATTTATGTTATTTTTTTACAGTATGCATGGACTTCATTGTCTCAGTCTTTGGTGTTACTTATGAACTTTACACCAAAAAAATTTTTTTTTCAGAAAAATGAATGGTGGAGATACAATCCTAATTATTAAATCAAATGCTTTTCTGATTGCTTTTTAAGTAAGTACATCTCTGCAAATAAAAATGCTTACTCTTGTCTACCACAATAAGGAAGAGAAGGAATATTGGAATGAAGAGAGGCAGGAATGTTGGATCTCAGTGGCTGAGTTGTGGCAATTCCATTGGATGTATAGTACCAGAGGTTGCGCCATCTGGATGATGTGTAGGAGATAAAGTCAAATAGCAAGAATAAAAGACTCATGATTTCCCAAGGAAAGTCAACTGTGCATGGTGGCTATCAGGCAACACCCTA